CAACTAGATGTAAACACAAAAATGAATTCTATTAAACATATAAATAAGATCTACATTTCTATAAACGTATCAATTTGATCAGCTGTGTAATTCTATATACCATCTGATACAATACAGATAATTTTATACAGTGTTTGAACAAAAACTGTTTTAAAACTAGTATGGACCGCGGTTTTGTTTGTATACATTAGAACAATATTAACATACTAACTCTAGCTTATGATTGCCTCAAATGCATATAAAATTATATATATAAGTGAAATAGGTTCTTATAAGTCCGTATAAAGACTAGCATGGCGTAAATTATATATTTTTTTCTATAGACAATCGTATCGCGTGCACAAAGGCTGTTGAGATGTATAATTTAATACCTGGCCATTGAAATTGAAATGAGTTTCTTATATTAGCTCAATGTCACTATCCTAGTCTTGATACGAAGTATGGATAAATATGAAAATAGATTTGTATAGAAAACTTACATACATTATGAGCATAGGAAATTTTTAAATGGTACACTTTTTAATGGAGGTAAAACGGGTCGTGCAACGGAAACTATTTATTGAGTGCTTCATGGATCACGAAATACATAAAGAATGGTATCTATGGGTTTATGGGGTATATTAAATATGGTGAACGAGGCTATATACTGTAGAGGATAAAATTGTAATTACTGGTTGGTATCAAAGTATAAAATTAGCGTTGATTTTTCTATCATCTAAGCTTCTATTAGTGTTTTAGGAAATTCTTTAAGTAGATTGTATGAAAGGTCGTGGTGGCCTAGTGGTTGAAAGCCCGCCTCTCATGAGGACGCGGGTTCGAAACCTGGCGAGTAGCTATGTGATCTTTCAAATCATATGTACTTTTAAAGAGTATTTAGACACTACTGACTGATGAAGGAAAAGATAATGAGGAAACCTGGACTTATAATTTCAAATTATAAGTTTGAAATCACCTATCTGTCTTGAGCAAGTACGGTGATTAATGCTCAAATCTTCTCCATGTGAGAAGAGGCCTTACAGCAGTGGGCTCTGATAGGCTGATGATGATGATAGTATGAAAATCAAGTGTTGTAACGGTCAAAACATTCTAGTCCCCGGATGAAACACTCGACAAACTCGTTACATGTCAAGTTACTTGGAAATTATTACGCTTTTATTATAGTACTTAAAACATGCCACCAAAACTACGTCTCAACGACATATTACTTACAAAGACAACTTATTATTTTCAAGTACAACATTATTTTTGTTATATAAAAATTAGTTTTAACATTTTATTCGGTTAGAATCATCATTTTTTTATATGAAATCATCAAAAAATTTAAATGTCACCAATAATAAATCTACTATATATGTAAGGTTCTGGAACCTTGTGGAACACCGAGTTATATTGTAAATAAGTAATATAAAATTAACAATACAATATTTACTTGCATCTATCTCCTTGACACGATTGTATAAGAAACGTGAATATATATTTGAAAGCGTTTGTCTGTCGGATTGTTTTTGACTTTTCCCATAGTTATTTTAACGTAATAAACGAAAAAAATAAATTTAAATATATTAAATTTGTCTGCATTTGTGACGGATTTTTTTTTAATTTTTATTCATAGTTTTTTTTATGGCATCTTAATAAAGTATATTTTTAATCATGAGATTTTACAACTTTTGAATAGGAATTTCCCCATAGATGCAATTGGCATGATAATTATTTAAGTGTAATCGTTATATTGACGGTAATACTGTCACAACGAATGCTAGATAATAAAATTAATTCCATAACTAGTTTTTACACAAAAAATACAATTAAAATTTGCTATAAATGTTTATAAGCACATTTTTTTCCATTAAAAAAAATGTAACATTTCTCGATTTGTAAACTCTGTACAGAGGAAGCGAAGTGATGTCATGAGTTCAAACAACGTGACTCAAGAAAATAAGTGAAAAATAAATAAAAACCAAACATTACACAGCTCGTGCAAACTTGGCCCGCTAATCATACAAACTACATCAGGACAAATAGAGGAACTTACCAAAACTTTTTTTGAGGATATCCTACCCGAAAGACGTAAACCGATAACCTTATATGAACTGGCACCAACTAAAACCTCGTAGCTGTGAGTTATCGAGACGTCCGATCGTTGTGACGTGCACAACGCAACTGACTGTTGAGGCGGCGCCTGCGCTTACAGGATTACACGCCTCCACACACACAGGCGCGAAACATGCGTGTATGTATGTGTGTGTGAGTGTTTGTATGTGTGTGTGACTGTTTGTATGTGTGTGTGAAATCCTTCATGAAGATGCACATCACACGACCAACAAGATGCAAGACACTATCACCTGTCAAAGATCAATACAGCATCCTATACGACCGATGACATCTCGACTAATGACGACATTGATATACAAAAATTGTTATATTATACAGTTTTTTGTTATACAAATAAGGGACACAGATTATATAAATATTAAAACTATTTTGATATTTTTTTTAAATATATAACCTCCTTAAACGTGTATTTATTTTATATATCCTACTATCTTCGTAGACTCATTAACTAATAACACTATATTATATAAAATGAGCTTAAAAATAATAAACCACTTATATAGATAGATGAGAAGTATAACAGATTGTAATAAAAACTATTTTTGGAGAAATAACCGCTCTTTATCATAATATATTTAAGTATTATATTTTTACTATCCATACTGTAGTCTATTATATTATTTAATATTGTATACAAAATTTTTTTTTGTAAATGAATTTTTCACTAGTAAAGATACTACCAAATTATAACTCGACATACATATTAAGGCAGACTCTGGCTAAAGCTGCTAAATTGCCAGAAACAAGAAGATACATATAACACAAATTTATATACATAAACGAGACAGCCCAAATAATGGCCAATAATCAACATTATAAGCATAAAATATTTTAAATTCATTACAAAACAAATATATTTCAATGTAAAGTTATATTGACCTCTAAAGCATTTCATTAACATAACATAAAATAATTGATCCCGACCTGAGCTTTGAACCAAATTGTATGGAATACTTTGAAATTATATGAAAACGACGCTACAATTGAAAGAGGTTAAACTTATTTTACCAAAGAGGTATTATAAAAAGGTTTTATGTTTGGGGTGAATAGGGATGAATGATAAAACATTTGATATAATTTTGTATAGACTTCTTTAGATAGTAGTGATAATCAGGATGACATATTTTTGAGGATTTCAAGATGAGTCAAACATTTACATATAAAATATTCTATTTAATTTCAATGATAGCAAAGTATGAATTAATTTAATTTTGAACGCAATTAAGTTCCTAGTATAGTGACATAATATTTTTTTTTTGTATATATATGTATATTAGATAGAAAGCACTCACCCTTTCCACGCAGTGAACAAAGCTTCCAATATTGAAACAATCCCTTTTATACCCTTTATCAGTTATAAATGCGATCAATAATTTTATCAAGTAACGCTCGTACGTGGACTATGTTACAAATAAGTTACTTATATTGAAGTGATTTATATTTTACTTAAATATTTAGAAAAAATATAAAAATAGAAAGAAAACTATACATTAAGATATGTCTCCCACAAAAACATTTATAAAATTAAATTAAAAGTTAACTAGATAGCTTAGTAAGGTGTAAATATGAAAAAACCTTTACGATTTTTAGAAAGAATTTATTAAGTTATTGTAAAAAGCACTTAGATAAACTAATCTTGTATTGTATAAGTCGTTACTATACTAAATTGTTAATTAAAGTAAATTATGTAATATATCTCATTTAAGTGAACATTGTATATTATTTATGAGGAAATAAAGTTCTTTAACCACAAATATTGATAAATCATCTCAATATTATATATTTATATATATAATATATTTTTATACAGGGTGACTGGTGAATTACTATCAATATTTAAGGAGAATACTCGGTACATGATTCTCATTCGAATTATGTAAAAAAAATGGGTACTTAATTTTTGACAAAAAATTTCCGTATAAATAAATAAAGTGTGGACACGTTCCAAGTGTTCCAAGTGTGGACGCGTGTGGCGTTGTGTTGTATCAGCACGCCGCCGCACGCGTGTGTGTGTGTGTGTGTATACCTAATCTGTAGGGTGTTCACACGATGCGTAATTAATTACATAACTTTTGGTTAACTTTTCTTAGAAGTTTATTAATATTTATGTTATATTAATTTTTATTTTGTCATATATGATCGTCAAATATCACGTCCTCAAGTATCGATAGTAATTCACCAGTCACCCTGTATATTTGTCATTATATTGTCCCTCCATAACTTATGTTAATAGTTCCTTTCCTTAAAATTTACATTTTTTTGAGTTCAAATCAACGTTCAAATAACTGTATCCGGTACCTTTTTTAAATGATCGATAAAATTTAATTTGACAAAAAAATGCTTCATTTGTGATTCAAAATTAAGTTTCAATATATAAATATATATGTTCGTAAATTGTTTTTAAATAAATCCAAGGAGTATAATTACTATATACGGACCCATACATATTTGCGACGTGTCTTTTAATCTTAGTATATGCATGATCGACAGTACTTACTGGTTCATCGTTATATATATCTTCTTATGATCTCTAAGTGTAAATGTTTTCGTATATTAATTATTAATATTACCCACGTAAAATATCGTGTTAGTATGAAGAAAAATATATTTTCCACAGCAAGACAGATTATATACATTAAAATCATCTATATATATTTTTAATGTCATTTAAAACTTGCAAGTATTCATTTAAATCAAACTAATATTTACGGATTATTACGCGTACTTTATTATTTTTAAAAACTACATACTCCCGACGTTTCAGTTACTTTATTCACATCTCGTCTGTCCGTGATCACGGTTGATGAAAAGTAGCCGAAACGTAGGGAGTATGTAGTTTTTTCTAATCTGAAAATATTAGTTTATCTGTATGTATGTTCGTCACTCACCTCAGCTTGAAGTAACTCTTGCATTTCTTCATTCTGTTTCTTTAAAGCTGCAATCTGCAATTATATAAATTTATTATAGTTTAGGTATATATGTATATTTCTTTGAAAAAATGTTGTGTCTTAATCATATTACGCCTACAAAGTATAATATATAGGTAAATTAGAGAAATCTTTTAAAATTAACTTAATATTATAATACTCATTTCAGGCAGACCCTGGCTAAAGCTGGGAAATTGCCAGGTAGAGGTAGAATACAATATAAACATAAAAATGCATCAACTAATAGTGCTTAAGTTTGTATATTTATGTAACTTAAACCTCAAAACGACTGTATCTATTTAGATAAAACTTTATTTATAACTAGAAGACCTGGCGAACTTCGTATCGCCCTATAATAAAGAAATATCAATTACGTTTATTTATTTATATTTTTGGAGTTTACCAGTAGTGTTTTGAAGTGCGACAGAATGATTGACATATTAGTTAGTTGTCAAATCTTATGTCAAAAAAAACGTTTGTATGGGAAATAGAAAAGGGCTGCTTTTAGGGTTTTCCCAGTATTAATGAATCAATTATTTTCAGCTTTTAAACCTTCCCTGAACCTCCACGAACATTTCAAGACTAAGATAAAATAAATTCGTTCAGCTGTTCTCGAGTTTTAGTGAGACTAAGGAACAGCAATCCATTTTTATATATATAGAAGATATAGAAGAAGAAGATAGAAGATAGACTACATTATGGAAAAAGATATAAGGATTATTTTTCTTTGAAGATCGATAAGTATATGTTATGTCAGTGAACGGGAATCGAACCCGGGAAATATCGAACATTTCATTAGCAAATCTGACTTACAAATTTACGTGTAACAAAAAAAAAACTGGACAAAGCGATGGCGTTTGTATTTTAAATTTCAAATTTCATAAAATCATTTAAATGCGAACCGTCAATAGGTCACAGTGAAATGTATTCGCATCGTAAGTGGTTGTGAGTTTGTTTTTTTGTTCCCCGTATAGCCGGTCAGGGTTGTCGATACTATTATAAATAATAAACTAATATCATTACATTCATATAAATAAATAATAAATTTTAATTTATTTATACATTTTTCTAATACGATAATTTTATATATCTTTATATAGTACGAATTTATATAATATATATGAATATATTTAATTAATTTTGTATATACCGCCAACCCTAATGATATGTACATAGTTATATGACGTTCTTCCTGTGTACACAATACCTATTATATTATCAATCTACGTAATGCGCCCCCGACTTTGTATTTTATAAATTGTATTAAATATAATTCTTATTGAAACAAACTAAAGTAATATTAAAATCTAGATCATTACTCAAGATGGTAAATTTTAGTTTATCCTCTATGTCTATCCAACGTGGTGTTGTGGGTACAATAGTTGGATTTTTTGTGAGATATATAGTTTTCTTTGTGTATCAAATTGTATGCTCATACACATTTGTCTACCGGGAATCGAACGCATGAACCTTTAGATGGATAACATTTTAACCACTAAGTCAGATGATCGTCACCAATATTATATTTAAAAATTGACATAACTATTAGCTTTCTTTAATTAGTAACTGAAAATAAGTTTTTTTTAAATTTTAGACTTAATCTACATACATATGTTTTTGTTTTTCTAATAAACAAAAGCCAAAATTCGTATAATATAATTCTACATAGAAACTAGTTCTAACATAATTAATTCCTTGAGACAATTGAATTTAAATATTTTTATATATTACATAGTTTCAAAAAACATAGAAGTAAATATTGTAACTTTGGATATGCTTATATATGTAAATTTAAATCTTCACCCAAAAGCATTTCTCTTAGAGATCAAATCATAAATATTTTTTTAGAAACTATTGTAATTCCCATTAAAATCATAGAATTAAAATAAAGTGCAGTTTTTTTCTAACTACAATTTTATGGTCTATTTTCTTTTAACTTTAGATCTTTTTGTCTTTGTCTTGACATTTGACAGGTGACTAATAGCTGTCATCATTAACTGTCAGTGTCAGGTAGCCCCAAAATATAGAGTGGAGTGTCGATATAGTAAAATCAGATCAAAGATTAGAATACCAAATATATCTTGTTTTAGGCCATTGTACTCTGGACGTGCGAAATATTATACACGTTTTTGTTTACAAAACATGAGGATAGTTTGAATTATCTATAATTCGGAAATTAATTATTAATTCAGAACTATAATATATTAAATATATTTAAATAAATTATATATGATCTTCTGTATGTATGTTAAATATAAGCATATGTATTTTAAATTTTAAATGCTGGATAAAACCTAGTGAAAATTTTTATATGGAATTTACAATTATAATGTAAGGACATCACTAGACTGTATACAAAAAGAGTAGATTCATTTATTATTAAAATATGAAACTAATATTTTTTCCAATTATATGTACTAAGCATTTTTTATGATTGGCAGACGAGATGTGACTTTACATCTCGTCTACTCGTAATCACGGTTGCTGAAAATTAATCGAAACGTAGGAAGTAAGTAGTTTTTACAATAATATTCGCGTAGTATAGTCCGAAAAATATTAATTTTAAAATATTTGTAGCTGAACTTCAGAAACACTATTATTGAGATTCACCTCGTTTGTTTTATCAAAGAATTTCACTAAATCAAGAATATACAAAAGAAATTACAGATACTTTTAACTTATTGTAGACATAAACGGCAAATTAATGAAGACTCGCCGAAAAAAAATGTTTTAATTAATATGAGAAAAACAAAAAATCTTATAATGATACAAAATTCAACTGATTAACTGTTAGATGTTATGTGTGGTTGATAGTGTTCATAATAAAAGCTCTTTATAGGATTGAATAAAGCCTTCACTACCTAAATATATTTTTTACATATACCAAGAATAGATGTTTAATTCAAATAACATACATCTAATGACAGGGAGGAGTAACCATATGGAATAACTAAATATAAAAATATTTAATGTATTAGGGATCTAATTGTCAATAATTATTATGATCATTATGTGAAAAGAGACGAAATTGAATATACATCATCATCATCATCAGCCTATCAGAAGCCCACTGCTGAGCACGGCCTCTTTCTCACATGGAGAAGGTTTGAGCACTAATCACCACGCTTGCTTAAGACGGGTTGGTGATTTCAAACTTATAATTGTGAAACTATAAGTCCAGGTTTCCTCACGATGTTTTCCTTCACCGTATGTCAGTGGTGTCTAAATACTCTCAGAAAGTACATATGACTCCGAAAAATCACATTGGTACTTGCCAGGTTTGAACCGCCGCCCTCAAACATACATATATATACGAAATTGAAAATATATACATATACGTGCGTATGTATCATTATATTATAAAAGGTAAAATCCCCGCTTCAATCCAGTTTTTATCTGTTAAATATTGAAACAGCTTATCACAGCGGGCCGATTGGGTCGCCGCTTCCCTCTCGTATCGATCCAAATTAAAATCTAGCTGAATGTGATTAACATCATATAAAAAATATGCTTTTATCAAGCAGGGGTGACTCGATAGCATATCAGACTGGGAACGAGTAGCATATGCTGCATTATAACATTCAATTAAATATGCACACGTATTACTAATAATTAAAAAATAGCAATGTCTCTTTAAAGAGACGAAACCTCTTAGCATTCAATATATTCACGGTGCGTGTGTCGGGTCCATCGTTGTAGTGAGAGGAGCTTCAACAGTGACTGGGACTTGCGACCCAGGTGTAGATTTAAGGGTTTTATCTAACGCACATTAAACGCTCACCTCCACCGTCCAAGCTCATCTCTACCTTTATATATATCACAAAATGTGTCTGGCTATGGTTTAAGTTAATAAGAGAGGCCAATCAATGTTGAAAAATTAATTAACATTAATATATGTAATTAATACATACTATAGAAATACACATTGTGTTTGTATATTAAAAATCTTGGAAACATTAGATACTATATCGAGAATAATCTAGAAGAATCCACGGATAATCCCTACAATATTATAAATGCGAAAGTAACGCTGTCTGTCTGTCTGTCTGTAACGCTTTCACGCCTAAACCACTTAACTAATTTTATTGAAATTTGGTACAGAGATAGAGTAGGCCTTGAGAAAGAAATAGGATAGTTCTTATCCCAGACTTTTGAAAGGTTCTCTTGGAAACGCGATATAATCGAACTCCACGCGGGCGAAGCTGCGGGCGGAAAGCTAGTAGTAAATAAATTATAATAAAGACGAAAATTATATAATATTCATATAGAAAACTGATTTTATAAGGATATTGAAGGCTCATCGGCGTTTTACTAACGTTATCATTATACAAACTTTTTTTACCTAGAAATAATTGTACAAACATGAACTACGATTGTAATGATTAAGATATAAGCAGTTAGAACAAACAGATAAGGTTCTTAATACTTTGGAATCTTATTCAGTAATACTTGAGATACATTGGAACTGATAAAATCAATGAATCGTGTACATTCATACATAAATTTAAAGAAATGGATAGTATTTAGATTTCATAGACTCTATTACAGGTCGAAAGTTGCCTCTAAACTTTATAAGATTTGGACCCAAAAGTAGATCAGTTCAGTAAGAAATTGTCTGTGCCCTTATATCTATAAGACGAAACTAGACTAGTAAAACAAAAGAAAATCTATGAATTGTATAAAATAAAATTACTATTAATGGATTTCTCCAAGAGATTTAATATATCATTCATCAGATTTAACATTATAAATATTCACTGTACTTATAATATTTATTGTCTGTTTGTCATTTCTTAGCATTACATAGAAATATGTACTTACTTCAATATAAAATTAAATAGGTATATAGTTTTTTCTTTAAGCCGTTTTTATAAAAAAAGTTTTACGCTACTCGATAATAGATGGCGCTGAACGAAATTACGCGTAATAACAGTATTGAGTGATCGTTCTAGATGGCACCGGAAACACAATAATAGCGCTTAGAGATAATTTATTATATTTTTATCTTCATTAGTTGTATGTTGTGTAACTTTTGATATATATGTATATATTTAATTTCTAAAATTTCTTTTTCTTCATTGTTTTACCTACACTGTAGCCTCTAAATATCTATTTTTTAATAATTATTACATTCTGTATTTTCAGCAGCTTTGACGTTAAATATTCTGAATATTTAATTATAACACAGTTTCAAGTTTTCATTGGGTCAAGACCTTACATATACAAATATGAAAAGTGCCATGATATTATGTAGTAAATATTTCAATTAATATTTTTATTCTCCATTTATATCATGGAATAAGAATTTATATGAAATATAAATTATATAAGAAACAGAGGAAGTTATGCATCAAGAGTAGACTGTGCCATTTTCCCAAAATATATTTTATTCATCACCTATTAATATAGAATAAATGAAAATATATATATGTTCGACATGCTAAATGCATACATTATATTAGGTTGGGGAAAAAGAAATCTATTATTTTTTCGGTAGATGGCTGTAGTGATCGATATCTCGTAAATTATCGATCGACCACAAAACAGTTTTAAACCATTTGCACAAACTGGGTTTAAAAAAAAAAGCTTGATGTTTGGGTGCCACACCAATTAACACCAAAAAACATGATGGATCGAATTTCCATCTGCGAAGCCTTGGCCAAACGTAATGAAATCGACCCATTTCTTAAACGGATGGTGACTGGGGATGAGAAATGGGTCACATACGACAACATGATGCGAAAGCGATCGTGGTCAAAGCGCGGTGAAGCAGCTCAGACGGTGGCCAAACAGGGACTAACGGCCAGGAAGGTTCTGCTTTGCGTTTGGTGGGATTGGAAAGGAATCATTTATTACAAGTTGCTTCCATATGGCCAAACATTAAATTCAGACATCTATTGTCAACAACTGGACCGTCTGAAGCGAGCAATTGACCAGAAACGGCCAGAATTGGCCAACAGAAGAGGTGTCGTATTCCATCAGGACAACGCCAGGCCACACACTTCTATAGTGACTCGTCAGAAACTCCAGGAGCTTGGTTGGGAAGTTTTGATTCATCCACCATACAGTCCGGACCTCGCACCAAGCGATTACCATCTTTTTCTTGCATTGCAAAACTTTTTTAGTAATAAGAAATTGGCATCAAGGGAAGAGTGTGAAAATCAATTGCTGGAGTTTTTCGCTAATAAGGACCAAGACTTTTATGAGAGAGGCATAATGAAGCTACCATTAAAATGGCAACAAATTATAGAACAAAATGGTGCATATTTGACCTAAATCGGACAATGCAAAACATGTTAAATAAAGTCTTGAAGTTCACATAAAAATAATAGATTTCTTTTTCCCCAACCTATTATATGCATGAAAAAAATTACATAAACATATAATAATAACCAAATAACATATTAACTATTTAAAATGTAACATTAAGTATAAGTTCTATTCATTCTTACATACATATTAATGTGTAATAACTAATAAATAGTATAATTTATATCCAAAACTTTACTATATACAAAAGTTATCCATGAATATAATACTTTCTCTAAGCCGGAATGTTCTTAAATAACTGTACATGTTACACAAAAACATTTGACACTTTGTAAGCACAAAAACTTAGTAGAATAAAAAACTTCAAAAGAGAGATTGGTGGTGTCATATAAAAAGGTTTAGATGACTCAAACAAATAATACTTTGTTATCGAAGATTTTCACAAGTACTCATTTAAATTAAACTAATATTTTAATAATACTTTGGATGAAATATAAAATTTTATTATATTAAATTTATATATAAGGTGCTCACATTGGGATTATCTTCGGAAAGTAAAAGTAGTAGACCTAAATATTTAGGAATTTAAATATCTATATCTAATATAATTAATTAAGTAATATAGCTAGGTGATAGAAGGTTGAAATTTCTTAGTTGTACATTAAAACTATATTACAACCTGCTGTCAGAATTAATATGTGTGTATAAAAAAGAATTCAATCAAAATTAGTAATAGACATTATATTTAATATTATAATAAAATTGTTTGAAATAAATTAGAATTTTATCTATCAATAACAATGATTATATATGTTAATATGGAAAAGTATTAAATAATAAACAAACTATAGTGTATATATTATTTAGTCGTCAGTATTTTAATACACTGGTATGCAAAGAATATTCATGAATGATTGCAACTGAAGGAAGCAGTCTAAGAAAAATATCCTGAAATATTTAATGACTTATAAACATAAATGGAATTATGTAATAAATCGTTAAAAAAAATTATTGACTTTCTTATTAAAATATATTAATTTTTTTAAAGATAGATTAGATTTTACAGATTATAGCAACATCAAGATTCAATAACAAATGGCCTTGATAAAGACCTTTTCAAATATATTTTTACCATTTTATTATCTTTATTAAAATTGAAGTTTCAATTAGAATGGTCACCTAATTGTTTAATCTACTTCACTAAAACCCTTTTTCGTTGTCAAAATATTATGAAATAATAAAAAAAACAAACTCCTAAAACTTGGTTTTTCTTTTACTTTTTCAGTCTTAATTTCACTTTTTTTAAATTATAATATGATAAGATGTGTCTTGTAAATAATATAAGTAAATATCTCAGAGAAAAAGAAGTAATGCAACTCTTCTGCAATATTAATGTATTACAACATAACCTTTTCAAACATCTGTCAGTGTATATAAATTTTCATTTGATAATAATATTATGAAAAATACCTCGAGCTCCTGGGTACGGCATTTTTCTTGAAGATCCTTTTCCACTGAATCAATCTTCGATTGTTCATCATTTGTAATTGTGGAACTGCCTTCGGACAAAACTTCTGTAGCAAAGTTTGTAATCTGTCCTTTAAGACTGTTTAAACTTTGATTTAGATTAAGCCACGACATTTTAGACACATAAAATTTTTGTCACATATCACAATGGATAATTAAGTCTTGAAATATTGTTGAAACACCGATGTAAACAATAAATAAATTGCATTATTTTGCCATTGACAATACGATGACCAGTTGGCAAAACAAGACGAACTTCATGTTGACATAACAGTGACAGCTGACAACTTACAAACGTTTCTAAAAATTCTACATTATTATTTCTAGAAATTTTCATTTATAAAATAAAAAGACTGAAAGGTAATAATGACTGAAAACTAATATATTTATTAGTAATCTGAAATATCCTGTATAAAATTAGTATATTGAAGTAAATTTTGTAGAACTATTAAACACATATTAGTTCGAAGTAATGAGGTAGGTGAGATGAAAATATTATTATTTACAGAGCTGTTACAGTAAGGCAATGCGTCCAAAAACATGTCTAGTTATATACGCAAATAATACATCTGGCGATATATATTGCATCTATTGCCTTCCTTATCTGTTCTTGTGTGATACCTATATTATTTCAGCGGAATCAAAATACCCGTCTGTTTCAATCATGCCTACATTTTTATACACAAATAAAATCTAAGTGTTAGCATTTATACCATTTACTAACGTACCAAAACATGTGTTTAGGGAAGATATAATTTTTTAACACTGTTTATGAAATAAGAACTTTGCTTTCAAACAAAATTTTCGTAAAACAGGTCAATCAATTCAATGTTTTATTTACTGATAAGACTGATCAGATATCTTTGGCAAATAGAATTGATAAATTTTGTTTTCCTTTAAACTTCTGGTAATTCTACAAAAAAGTGATATAGACATGTATCTGAAAGGTTAAGTCAATTACTCACCGGTGTGCTATATCAAATGGATGTAGCTAGTATCATCATTACATTATAACAAAGATGAAAACAGTACTTATTTTGGGGAGCAACCTGTGTTTCGTTTAGTAAAAATAAGTGGTTCAGTCTGAATTATTTTCTCTTTCTACTCAGTTCCCCCAACATTATGGAGGCTATAAATATTTAGTTTGTAAAAAACTCCGTAACTGTACCTCTTTTGATATATCGGTCACCAAGATCTAGCTGATATTTAAGGGAATGAAATTTTAGAGCTTCAGAAAATGGTATTTATTTAGGTTAAAAAACGAGCAAACTTGTGTCTTGTTGCGGTTCAACTTAATTAAGTTCGATCTTCACCATTCGGAGACTTGTCCCAAGAAACTCTAAGCAACTCTCTTGAACCTATTCAGGATATTTACTAGGCCTGCCTTAAAGCATCATCTGTGTTGTTGCATAATAATGAATTTTGCTAGTTCGCTATATGTATTACAAACATCTTCGCTGGTAGTTCTGAGCATTGGGGTATATGAACATTGATGGCCTTGTGTTTGAGCATGATCCGTCAACAAACGCATTTATGATTATGAAAGAGTTGGCTACCTTTTTTTTTCTTTTTTCTTACTTGGGAAAATGCATTAACGCATCCCCGCCGTTTTTAGAAAACAGCGGGGTATGTGGGACTCGTTGCCACTACCCACTAAAAACCCAAGGGTGTTCCACGACGGCCCTTGTGTCGGGGCGGGGGATCGCTTTCGCACTCCCACCAGCTTCCCCGACCCGAAGAGTTGGCTACCTGACTGAATAATCCTTCTGGTAATCCATATGATGTCAACTTCGATAACAATTCTCTGCGCAAGATACGATGAAGTGCCTTTGCTAAGAAAAAGCTTACTGTAATTTATTTAAATAAATTTAAAAAATCATCAGCCCGTTGCTTACCTTTACAGAGATATTTTGAATTTTTGATACAGATATATATATCACGAAATATCTCTACGCGAATAATGTTTAAAGTCAACATTGTTTCGTATAAAAACATTTAACTGTTTTATTTTTCACACTACTTTATTTCATTGTCTTAGATCTACATTTTATAACAGACGCTTGTACACGTAGTTTTCGTTACTATATTTATAATACTGATGGTACTTGTAATGTATTTCAAGGTTGAATTCTGGAACCTTTTTTTTTTCTTCAAATAAACTATATTTTTTACGACTCTCAGTATTGAAGAATTAGTAGAATATTTTCTACTAATTCTTATTATAATTAAATTTAAAGACACCAACCAGCTTTAAATCAATCAAGATTTAATTCGTTACTGTTTTTAGAGTGGTACAACAGATTTGGTCACAATTTAAAGAAATTATTATATTTATTAGAAAAAAATTTAAGAAAAACAAAAATTTGTAACTCCTTCTTTCTTATCAATTCAATAGATGGCGTTGTTACACTATAACCCATGGTTTCAACCTTTACATAAAAAAAACTATTAATTAAGAATATGTAAATATTACACTAATATTGTCTGAATTAAGGAATTATATATTTACATAAGATCAGTAGCTTCTCTATAACAACATTTTGTGCCAGTTTGAAATCTATACTAATATTATAAAGCTGAAGAGTTTGTTTGTTTGTTTGTTTGAAAGCGCTAATCTCCGAAACTACTGGTTCGAATTGAATAATTGTTTATGTGTTGGATAGTCCAATCATCGAGGAAGGCTTTAGGCTATATAACATCACGCTACGACCAATAGGAGCAAAGATATAGTGGTAAATGTGTAAAAAATGCTAGAAATTATTTCATCTTTGAAGCCTTCCGTTGCGTGCGCCGTGAAAACGGTTCAAGATACACAAAAAATATGTATCAAAGAATTATAGCTCTTTTAATGATCTAAAAAACAGTCCGGGACAGTATACGTCTATCTTTTAAGATTAACTCACAAAAACCGTTTTTATGGTACCTAATTTGGTCGAAATAATTTTATAAAATCTTTATTCAAATAAACAAATAAATATGTTGTTGGTTAAGAGTACTTCATTGTGAATAAAAAAAAACATAGGTTTTATCCTGAAAATTCTACGGGAACTCGACCATTCCGAAAACCCCACAAGAAAGGGAACTATGTGGGAAGAACCAAAAATCTGCCGTAAGTCACTATTCCACGCGGACGGAGTCGCGGCAAAAGCTAGTTGTTTATATAGTAAATTGATGGGTGATATAAGTGGGGAAAATACATTTTGTAAATATAATAATCTTACCAAACGATTTAATTGTTTGATCTCTAGTAAAAATCATTGACAAAGAGAAGGTACGTAAGTAGCAACATCTTTTAATATAGAAATGGCAGGTAATTTTAAATGTTTAAAATTTTTCTTGAAATGTTGCCCGCTACGATAAAATTTTATTGTAATTTTAAGAAAAATGCATTTGTTGTATATTTTTTTTTAAAAAAAGGAGTTTATATATGTATGTTTGATTATACTCTCGCTGAAATAAAAACTTTTATTTAATACTCAACTCACCTTTTCATACTTTTAACTTTTAAGAGAACATGTTAATAATGGTATTTGCCGTGTTTTTTTATCAAAGTTAGATTTGAGATTAAGATAAGTAAATGATATGTATTATTTATTAAGGTATTTAAATCAAACAAAGTTTTAGTTTTCATATTGGTACAAGTTTTAAACATTATTTGTAATTTTTAAGGATGTCACAACTATCATATTCCTCTTTTGAAATCAAGTTTATATGAATGTTTTTTCAAGTATATAATGATAAGAACATTTTTATGTAGTAGTAACAAAAATATATTTATTTTAATAGGCTTGACTAAAATATAACATATGGCAACATTATACGAGATTTGTTTGTAATGTCATTTCAAACTGAAATGACAAGTTGGTGATAAAGCACGGCTAATCGCTGAACAACACCAAAATTGTTTATTTCATTATTAACGGTAAATAGCAGAATTTTAGCCGCCGAATTTGAATTAACAGTGTATGTGCGGGAAAATATAATAATTTTACGCATGTTATGAGATAGTTAATTGTATTTTTCTGTTTCGCAACGCACGTAAGTAATTAAATTGATATTATTAAAAATCATAATTAAATCATTGAATTTATATTGTTGATGAATTCTTTTTATTTGTTTGTGGTTTATTAATTTTTATTGTAATATAAATCTATTAAATAACATTCAAATGTGACATTGTGTGAAGGAGAATAAATTTTTCCTGTTCTAGAAATATGTTGTACAATTTATTACAAGATCTTGCGGTCATTCAAACTATTATGATTAACAAGTTATTTAAACTTTAAGCTGTATCAAAAACTCATATTGATAAATCTACATACATCTATGGATTTCATTTATGCTTTACTATATTTAAATAACATTTTATGGTACACATTATTTAACTATCTATTTACGACCTTTGAATTCCTTAAATAAAATAAATATAGTGTACTTTACCACAGAATTCCATAAAATATATAACTATGATCATTATTAGTTCTATTTTAAGTTTAAAATAAAAATTATTCATAAAATATCAACTAGAATAATCTATTTGATGAAATTTAATATAAATAATGCTAAATTTAATATGAATATTTACGTTTTTAAGTGAAGTGTTTGGTGAAAATGTTAAAACATGTTGTTATTTATGCTTGATGGAATGTTAATTTGCAATAACAATAAAAAATATCTCGAAGCGTTCTGTAAACAAGCATTAACAAACTTTATGTGCTACATTTGTTAACCATTCTGTTTGCTCATAAAAATGTAAGAATTAAAAATGAATTTCAAACAATTTTTATGTTAATTATTACGTCATGGTAATTATGGCTTCCATGAATTCTTTTCACACTTAATATCTGTGACGTTTAAATATATTTCAGTATTTTATTTCTTAATATTTATGTCATATATATGTAACTTAGTTTAAAATACAGTTTAAAATTTAATATAACTATTTAAATATATAGAGTAATTGGTTTAATTAAAATTTTTATGGTAAAATAATGTAGTCTTTTGAGATTTGTAATATTTGTCTGAAATATTTTCAAATAATTATTTGTATGGTTAAAATATTGTGTTTGAGGACTTTCTTTATATATATTTCTTTATATATATAGAAAGGCTATATATCTCATCTCCTACTACAAGTTTACAGAATCTATACACCAACAATATTTAGTTTTCCATTCACAATATGTTGATAAGCACATTATTATAAATAAAACTTGTAAACTATAACTTGGACCTGCCTGTATGTATGTTTTTTTGTGGTAGGAATGATGATAAAGAAGGAAATATATGTTTTGATACTCACGGTATTTGAAATACATAGTTTAGTATTTTTAAATAGATGATTTTTTTATATATAAATATATTGTACATAATTTCTCATGAAAATATTATTCTTATTAAAAGTATGTGAAATATAATAATATGTTATCCTTTTTGTTTGATTGTCATAATGGTAGAGAACTTTTGAGTCTGACAAATAACTAATATTCTTATTCAAACTATGCATACTGTATTTAAAAAATATTTGTATTGAATACAAAGTAATTTTTAATAATAAAAAAATATTATAGCCAATACAGCAAAATCATTTATAAGGCCAGAATTAAACTTATAATTTACCATAATTACTAATATTTTTCTTTTGAAGAGACAAAATAATTTAGAACATTTCAACTATGTATGTATAGATCTATTTTGTTGCGTGAGTGAAATTAAACCTCGAAAATCCTATATATACAGTAGGACCTCGATTATCCGGACTAATTGTTGTCGGTAGGCGTCCGGATAATTGAAAGTCCGGATAATCCAATATATGAAGAAAAACGGGCTTTTTGCATATGTACATATGTAGTCAGTACCACACATATGTAATGTTAGGTGTTTAATTAAAACAACAAATACATATGAGCGAAAATCAACCTTTATTAAGAAATTGTACATAATGTACGTATAATTTGCTTACAATAATTACGTATGTATTTGGTAATTTGCATTAGGTAATCTTGAAATACAAATAAACCACCACACAATAGTCAGTGGTGGCCCAGTGGTTAAAGGCCCGCCTCTCGTTGCCGAGGGCGCGGGTTCGATCCTGGCCCGGCAAGTACCAATGTGATTTTTCCGAATCATATGTACTTTCCAAGAGTATTTAGACATCACTGATTAAAGTTGATTCCCAAAAAGAGGATTGATGTCAGGCAGGAGGCCGGTCGTAAAAACAAATAGCCAAAACTATTCACATCATGTAAGGCAGACCCTGGCTATAGCTGGGAAATTGCCAGGTTTAGGCAGACCCTGGCTAAAGCTGGGAAATTGCCAGGAAGAAGAAGAAGAAGAAATACAAATAAACCACGAGTGGCGTGGCGTTATGCAAGTTAATATTAGAATAAACTCATCGCGATTGGCAGTCCGGATAATCGCGAATTCGGATAACCGAGGTCCGGATAATCGGGGTCCTACTGTATATATATAGGATTTTCGAGGATTATAGAATTTAATAAAATCACAATAATATTGTTTTCATTAAATAAATGTAATTTGTGTCTATACATATAAAATGTTACCTCACAATACAAATCTGTGAACAATGCATTTGGTGTAATTTATTTAATGAGAAATAAAATATGTAATATTTTTAATATTATATGTAAATTAAATCGTGTTATTGTTGTTGTATATATATTTATTTATTTAAATATTTGATGTTATTATCTTGTGATAATTCTGAGATTACTTAAATTTTATCAGTCTCATCGTCACTACATACGAAACTTGTCTTGTTACTCATTGAAACGAACGTTATTAGTGTTTACGTAGATTTATGAGTGAATAACTTTAGACTATATGTACGTAGTTTGATGATGCAGACTTATGGTAAGCACGATTTCTAAATTATTATCGCTATGCCAAAGAGACGCAATTTTCAACGTTCGTTTTCATTATACTGACACTACATAAATATAACATTGCAAACAAATTAACATTCATATCAATGGTATTAATTAAAAGTAACCTATGTCACTTATTATTAAATCAGCTATTTTCATCTCAAAATCCCTTCAAAATCAGTTCAGCCAATTTAGAAAATAGTCAGAACAAACATAGACAGACGAACGAACATTGTAAGAAATTGTCATATTGGCATATGCGTATGCATTTAGAAAAATATAGGTAGAACCTAGCTGTGGTCAAGTTACTACAGCTCGAACATGTGCTTGCTCGACCGGGGAAGTACCACCCTCTCACAGAAGATCGGCGTGAAGTAGTCTTTAATGACTGCGTTTCGTCTGATGAGTGAGAGAGATGGTTGCTTTTTTCCCACCATTTCCTTTCCCTCTCTCACAATCAATGTCTGCAAAGCATCTGTAAAATAAGCGATGTTGCATATGTCCATGGGAGATGGTCACTACTGCCCACCAAGTAGACCTTCAGCTCATTTGACGCGTTTAATATAAAAAAACATAAAAATTATATATATAGATAAGTAAGTATGTTAATGTATGTATGTATCTGTTCCAGATGTCTGTCACAATGCCTAAACGATGGTATCGTTCGAGAAGGAACCAAATAGTTATTATAGTATTCATAGCCGCCAGTATAATATACTACATAAGTCTCTCTGATAGTTTACAAAGGGAGCAGAATCTTGATATTACAAGACGGTATGTAGTTTAAGTATTTGTAGTATAGAAGAGCATTGATAGAAGCCTGGTAACTATAGCTAGCACTTTGAAATGCATGTATCACTGTTTTTAGTTGTTTATCTAGCATAACACTATTTTAACCGACACCGTAGATGTCAGTCTTTTGAAAGATTAAAAGAAGATTTAATTTAAACGATCGTTACGCAATAGTATAGATCGCAGGTTCGAATCTTGCTTGAAGAAAATTATATTTTATTTTTTTTAAATCAAGTATTTACTATATATTATGTATATTAGAAATTTAATCCCTACTAATATTATGTATAAATGCGAAAGTAACTATCTGTCTGGCTGTAACGCTTTCTCGCCTAACCCACTGAACTGATTTTAATGAAGTTTTGCACAGAGATAGCGTTGAGCTTGAGAAAGAACATAGGATAGTTTTTATCCCAGACTTTTGAAAGGTTCTCTTGGAAACGCGATATAACCGAACTCTACGCGGCTGAAGCTGCGGGCGGAAAGCTAGTGTTTCATAAAACGTTGATATAATTTCGTGAGGCATTGAATCTTGTCTAAATGCAGAGCGTATGTGTTATATATACAACAAAGCCTTCCCACACTGAATGGGATTAAATCAATATGGAAGGTCTTAATGATTGCTTTGTATTTTATTAGTGGGCGTATTATGAATAGTTTGTACTCGTCAGTAATTTATCGAGAGTTTATAACAGCTGAGTAAATACGAGTAGTTTTGAGTATGAATTATATACTGATACTTGAAAAGTTATATTAATAAACTTTATAATATAAGTATTGAGTTCAGTAACTCGTGTTAAGTTCACATTACAAATCAATAAAATGTATGAATATTTTATTTGATTGTAATAACAGAAAAGAGTTTATTGCTATTATCTATATATATAAAAATGGATTGCTGTTCCTTAGTCTCGCTAAAACTCGAGAACAGCTGAACGGATTTATCTTATCTTAGTCTTGAAATGTTTGTGGAGGTTCAGGGAAGGTATAAAAGCTGAAAAAATTGATTCATCACTGGGAAAACCATAAAAACAGCCCTTTTCTATGTCCCATACAAACGTTTTTTTTGACATTAGATTTGACAACTAACTAATATGTCAATCATTCTGTCGCACTTTAAAACACGGAGATTTATGGCTTACAGGTAAACTCCAAAAATATAAATAAAAAAACGTAATAGATATTTCTTGATAATTATAGGGCGATACGAAGTTCGCCAAGTCTTCTAGTATTCTATAAATAAAACTAATATTTTTCGGATATACTACGCTTTCACATCTCGTCTGTCCGTGATTATGGTTGCTAAAAAGTAGCCGAAACGTCAGGAGTATGTAGTCTTTTACAAAAATAAAGTCGCGTACTATATCCGAAAAATATAAGTTTAATTTAAATGAATAAATCTCGCGAAAATCTTTAATTTCATTAATATATTCTATATATAATTATGTAAATATCAATCAATGTTTTTGTTTTAGTTATTTTTAAATGTAATTCGTCTCTATTTATTTTGAATTTATTAATAATTCGTATACATACGAAAGGTTTCCCCGTTTCTTATCAATAGTGAATTTTATTCATGCGCATTACATATGGTTCAATAAAACTACGAAATTCTATACGTTTTATAGTTCAATCGTAATAAAAGTTTACTTAGTAGGTGAGTAACACTAAAAATGTTTGGAACTGCTATGGAAACATTGGTAATGAAAACTGTTTTGAATTAAAATTTTAATTTTCTTTAGTAATCTAATATAGCATATTTCATTTTTTTGTTGTTTATTTTTGTGAATTAGCGGCAAATTTGAAAGTCTTTACACGTGAAAATTGACCTAACGAGCGAAAAAAATCGTCAATGATTTATTGATTTTCGTTGTGGGCTTACTCAACAACAAAGTCATGATAGGATGAAATTAGTAACTCCTAATGAAGCCCCATCTTGTGCACTATTTACAATCGGTTTAACGAGTTTAAAGTGGACGTAACAATTTCATTGATTGAATTGAAACCACTGAAGTAATATCAGTGTTGTGCGACGCATGATAAATAAAGATAGAAGAGTGAGCTATCAGCGGCTGTAGGCAAGCCAAGGTATTAGTATGAGTTACGCCCAAAAAATATTACACGAACATTTAGGCGTTAGGAACCCTTGTACCAGATGGAAACACCTTCACAAAGATTGGTGTCCCCAAATGCTAGATAACTTCAACGGTAGTAACTCAAATACTGTATTTGACATCATAACAGGTGATGAAAAATGGAAATATTGGTAAATGGAAACCAAAAGACGATCAGCTTAGTGGTTGTTTGTTTTCAAGGCTCGGCCATTTTAAGTAAATAAAGGAAAAAGTCATGAAAAAGACAATTGCATCACTCTTTTAGAGATTAGTAAATTAATTGGTGTCTTAATTAGAAGTATTGGCCACTCCCTACATAAAGCCGTTTCTCATTTTCCAAACATTTTCAGTGTTACCTAGATACATACGAAACTTTTCCCGTTTCCTATCAATGACCAAAAATATATTTTTAAAAAGTACAAAATTCTATATCTACTATTCACTTATAATTAATATTAATTCAAACTTTCGGTAAGCATTACTATTAATTAATACGAGTATGTTCATTAAAAAACATCAAATGTATAATAAATTTTATCACACAAAAATGAATCTAATTTCTTTGACTTTACAAATTAATATTAATTGTACATGATGTAATCAATAAAATGTACAACTAGTTATTAATATATCAATAGTACTTCATAAAGATTATTCACATTAAAATATGTTAAGTTTACCATAATGAGTATTGTAGCTAAATATGCTGAGTACGTGTGAAGTCATAAAGTTTAAACATATTGCTTTAAGGGTTTCATTCACAGAATTGGGTGATAAGAGAAATAATATAACTTTTTATACAGGGTGACTGGTGAATTACTATCAATATTTAAGGAGAACACTCGGTACAAAAAAATAGGCACTTAATTTTTGACAAAATTTCCGTATAAATAAATAAAGTGTTGACACGTTCCAAGTGTGGACGCGTGCGGCGGCGTGCTGATACTATACCACGCCGCGCGCGCGTATGTGTGAGTGTGTGTATATACCTAATCTGTAGGGTGGTTACACGATGCGTAATTAATTACATAACTTTTGGTTAACTTTACTTAGAAGTTTATTAATATTTATGTTATATTAATTTTTATTTTGTCATATATGATCGTCAAATATCACGTCCTCAAGTATCGATAGTAATTCACCAGTTACCCTGTATATTCAAGTAAAAAAATGACAATTATCATTAGTATATGAAAACTTCGTTACACTACATATGACTCGTTTTAATTTTTTTCTTCAATAATCTAAATGAATATGGTAGTGGGCTATGGTTCATGAATGAATACGTTAATCTATGTTTGTAGTATGACGATGCTAACTTAGGTTAAGCCTACTGACACATATGTAGATAAGAATAATACGGCGAGTGAAAATTTTGCCTTAGATGGTAATAGCAATATTTCAGTAAAAACCTATTCACTATTTTCTTGAAGACCTCCTAATGATGAGGTTTAAATTTGAAAGACTATACATGTACCTATGTTTGACGGAAATCTAGATTTTATAAATAACTAGCTTTCCGCCCGCAGCTTCGCCTGCGTGGAGTTCGGTTATATCGCGTTTCCAAGAGAACATTTCAAAAGTCTGGGATAAAAATATCCTATGTTCTTTCTCAAGGCCAACTCTATCTCTGTACCAAATTTCATTAAAATCAGTTCAGTGGTTTAGGCGTGAAAGAGTAACAGACAGACAGACAGACAGAGTTTCTTTCGCATTTATAATATTAGTAGAGTTTCATTAAAATCTAGTCTACTATATACAAGTAAACATTGTATAGAATTAGCACATGCTTATAACGGTGACGTCATACAGATTTTACCTAAAATAGAAGTAATATGCGATATTTCCTTATCAACTACATTTTACTATATATTTCCTATAAACTTTAAATTGAGGTATAAAAAGTTATCCCTGTTAGGAAACGAATACATAAATTACTACACATTTAATACAATGAATAGTATGTACAAGTCATAAAAATTCATACATACATGAAATAATATTTGATAAGGATATTATTTTGTATAGTTTTAAAATCCTGAAATTGTAATCTTATATTTAAAACTCTCGTGTCACAATGTTCGTTCTCGTACTCTTCCGAAACGGCTTGACCGATTTTCATGAAATTTTTTGAGCATATTGAGTAGGTCCGAGAATCGGCCAACACCTATTTTTCATACCCCTCAGTGATAAAGGTTGTTCACCCTTTAATTATTATTTTATTAATTTTTGGATGAAATTTTTTAGTATTAATTTTTTGTAGTGTGTCATAAAATACATACAACCCAAATTTTTACTTTTTTATCACCAACCCCTATATTTTTAATTTTATAACAATGTTTGCGGGGTCAGCTAGTATTTTAAATCGGTGAATGAGATGGAATTTTAGATAGTGTAATTCGGTATATCGTTTTATGTCTTATAGTTGCATAATCAATTAAAAATTTAATTTTCTGGTCCCTGATTGATGTAAGATTCTCATGATACAATATGGTTATCATAGACGTTACTAATTGAGATAGACAAAATCTTTATCATCAGACGTTCAGACACATGAATACTTAACATACCTTCCTTGTAAACCTTCCTCGCATCGGGACCAAGAGATAATCTTTCTCCTTCTTCATGAGCAAAAAAATTATTAGAACCTCCTCAAATCCTCAAAAAAATGGTGAATAGGCTGATTTTACTGGCATAAATTCTTTACCACCTATGTTTTGACTTCAGAAATGATAAATTACAAAAAACTAAACGTATATTATACTGTCTATGTAAGAGGAAAAAACAACGAATTCGACATAGTTATGTAAAAAAAGGTAATTGAAATAATGAGGTCTAAGATTTTCGCGAGTATTCATTTAAAGGAAACTAATATTTTTCGGATGTACTAAGCTATTTTTATTTTTGATTATAAACTACATACTCCCGACGTTTCGGCTACTTTACAGCAACCGTGATCACATCTCGTCTGCCCGGTTGGAGTATGTAGTTTATAATCAAAAATAAAGTACATACATTCGAAAAATATTAGTTTCATTTAAGATGTTTGAAAAATATGAATCAATGTTCATAAATTATCAATTTATTGTCACACAATCGAGACGCTTGCGCCCTTCAATAGACTTGCCTATATATCATACGGTGGAAGTTTACAGAATGTATGTGACTAACCTCTACGGTGTCGAAGTACTGCTTGCTTTAATATAATAATGTATCATAATTTCCTTTTAGTAGATATCTGTCTAGAGATAAAGGATTAACAGAGCGTCCACTTGATTTGAACAATAGGTGAGACTTACACTTTCAGCTTTTACTATTAATAGCTTAACTTAATATATATAATTATATCGCATGTTTCATTCAATACTGATAATAATGGTGAGGGTATATCAAAATGTTAGCAATATTCATTATGACTAATTTAGAATGAACCTTAATAGCATCTTTATAAATATCAAAATCGTTACTTAGTTTTGTAAAGAGTTTAATCTGACATTAACCGCGTCCAACGAAACAAGATAAATATTGTAAACAAATTTTGTTTGTACTGTGTTCGGACATCAAATGAATTAACATCTGTTTTCTGATTGCATGCATTTATTTTCATAACATGCCACTAGGTTAAGATACCGGTTTTTCGTACAATTTTAATGAGATGTGTAGTACATACTATTAATAGAAATTTACATTATGCAGCTGTTTGAATCAATTAGCAATTAGTTTCTGTGCCTTGAACTGTGTTAAATTACACGGTACATAATAATTTATATTTTATTCCGATCTTTGAGCTATATAAATGTAATATTTCATTATAATATATGGAGTATTTTTTATTTGAAAGAGAAATAAACATCGAAACAACTTTATACTGCTAATAGACTAAACAAGTTGCCCGTAAGTGTATAGCAGTGTTCCAGTATATATATTTGTATATAATATTATTTTTCTTATTTACTTCGTATAAAATGCATTAATATTGTCTACCTTATAACCAGGGCCGGGTTATGCCTGTCGGGGCCCCTAGGCAATGCTCATCCAGGGCCCCCTACCCTCTTCTAATTTTTTCGTTAACACAACAAAATTCAAAATTACACCGTTTTTTACTAACCTAGGTATATCATCATATTATTCAATAAAAATGTTGAATCAAATGAACAGAATGTTTATTTATGCATTAAAAAAAAACATACATAGCTTAAATATTAACTCTTCTAACTTTTTTTGATACAAAATCGTTCAAGATATCCTGAAAGGTAATCTTCTCCAACACGTCATTTTCAATTGCCATTATATCCAATGAATTTAAACGGTTTTGAGACGTCGTTGAACGAAGACAGTTCTTAATTAATTTCAATTTGGAAAAGTTTCGTTCACCAGTGGCATTTGTAATCATTAGACTTCTATATATTTGCAAAGCTGTCATTACGTTCGGGAAAGTTGACTGTGCCAACTGCCATGTTACCAATAATCAGTTTGTAAGACTCCTCGGCTGGCATATTTTTTTGTCCGGCGTCATCTAATTGTAAGATGAAGTATTTATACTGCACCATTTCGTCTATAAACTCAGGCTCAATGTCCTCGAAATAATGATCCTTAAATTTTGTACAAGTAATCAGTACTGCCAACCTTATGAAAGTAGCTTGGCCATAGAATGTACATACTTGGTAGGTACCAGTATAGTAAGTGTGCATTCACAACAAAGAGTTTTGAGCGTTTTTAATTAAATTACCGCGATAAAATTGCTTGCAATTATATTACTGCGTTATAAACTTTTAAACTATAATAATAATCATAATAATAATATCTAATAAGGAATGCGTTCCGAAATGTACTAAAATAGCGTCGATGTAATGTACAGAGCAAATTTTCAAATTAATTTTTTACTGTTTAAGAAACATTGCCCATTCTTTTCCCTGTAGCACAGGGGCCCCTGAACGTGGCAGGGCCCCTAGGCAGTTGCCTATAATGCCTAATGGATAAAACGGCCTTGCTTATAACCAGTTTGCTTAGATTTTATCCGATATGACCTTGGAAAAACATTTAATTTGACACTTATCATAATGAATTTAGGATGCATTGTTTAGTTTCAATATAACCTCGTATTTACGATTATTGACAACTTCTAATGGCTTCATGAGACACAATTGTCTCTTGTGCATAGTGACAAACTAATGACCTAGCGTATGTGTGTGTGTGTGTGTGTGTGGGTAGTTTTACTGTGTTGTGTGTATGTGTGTGTAATCAAGTCAAATCAGCTAGCAAGTTCCACGTCACTATTTGATAGTTATAATCGTATCAATCCCATATAGAGATTACATTTTCCTTGTAAAGTGGGGTAGGTGCTAGGTGCAACGAACTAGTTTGGCCTTGTGATTAGAACGCCTAAACTTTCCTCTGATCTATATTTATGAATAATTTCATCAAAATAACCATATCGGTTAGGTTTTGTTCAAAAATTAATATGTTTTTATTTACATCATAATATTAATTTTGTTTTATTCTCACCAAGACCTGGTTTTACGAATATGTATACAATGACTCTGACATGTTTTTATATATGTACCTATATATACATACGTCTAGATATATGAATGTCATGACAGTGTATAATATACAGGGTGACTGGTGAATTACTATCAATATTTAAGGAGAATACTCGGTACATGATTCTCATTCGAATTATGTAAAAAAATAGGTACTTAATTTTTGACCAAATTTCCGTATAAATAAATAAAGTGTGGACACGTTCCAAGTGTTCCAAGTGTGGACGCGTGCGGCGGCGTGCTGATACAACACCACGCCGCCAAACGCGTGTGTGTGTGTATACCTAATCTGTAGGGTGTTCACACGATGCGTAATTACTTACATAACTTTTGGTTAACTTTACTTAGAAGTTTATTAATATTTATGTTATATTAATTTTTATTTTGTCATATATGATCGTCAAATATCACGTCCTCAAGTATCGATAGTAATTCACCAGTCACCCTGTATATGTCTAGATATATGAATGTCATGACAGTGTATAATATATAAACAGCTAGCTTATATCTTATGTTGATTTTATATATTTATAGAACGAGATAAAGTTATATATAAGATAATTTGTTTGTTGTTTTATTCATCAAAATGATAAACAGGTTTGCAACGATACATATGTGTAAAAAGAAATTGACTTGGAAGTTGATTGAGATATATTACGTTTTGAGACATAAATCATTAAAAATATTGCCTTATAACTTACAATTTTTAAATAACAAATCGAACCTTAACTGAAACAAAGTCTTAAACAGTTTTAATTAATTATTATTTAAAACCAAAACACTTGTAATAACATAAGTCTAATTTACAAAGACACACACAAATGGTGTCGATAAATACTTTCCCGCGCAAATGTGAATAATCCAAACGTCATTTTTTCAATGTCAGTTTGGGTGCGTTTCAGAATTTTTAAGTTCGGTTCGAATTAAATGTGTGTTCCCTAGATATTGTCAATTGATATTTAATTTCAGAGCGAGAGTCATCCTAGTAAATATAGATTTAAAAATAAATCGCATAAGATTTAGGCAGTAAGTTGAAATAGAAACTTTGTTTGATTGTTCTAACAACGTTTTAGTATAGACCTTTCTTGTGAAATATATTATATATGTGTGTATTTTTAATTATCTTCGTTTCTTTCAATATGTTATTCTACTTTTATTTCATGATTTCGTTATACTGAAAATATTTTAGCAGTACTATACTATTAGGCGTCAGAAAACTGGCTTATCTTTAGTTTAAGTTCCATGAAAACAATTTTAGAGTTATTTTAACATTGAAAATGCGGGCGAAGTCTCGATTATCACCTAGTGTTATTTATGATATGTGTATATTAAAATGATATTCAAGTTTTTGGATGTAATTTCAAATTAACAGCTTTCACTCAATGTACATAAAAGTATAGAAGAATACTTGAATTAAACATGAAATATTATTCTTTTTGTCCTTCTGTTGAGTCAGTCTACCCTCGTTATCGGCAGGTCGGATTTTGAGGCGAATTTTTCTGTACTATACTACTGTAGTTCTATCATAAAGATCATCTAGTACTACTGTACTACTGTAGTTCTATCATAAAGAATTTTATAGGCTACTTCTAACCAATTTGTAAATGGAGGAAGTTCTCAATATGTCTTAATGTCTATTACTTCTTAAATTCCAATTTCTGAAAACATTATCCTTCGAAAGTGTCTCACAAAATCAAGTTTTGATTTAAGGTATCTGTTAGAAATTTTATAACTCTAATAATGATAAGACGAAACTCAAAAACGATTTAAATTGAGAGCAAAGCTGCAGGCAACAGCTAAGTTTGAAGATAAATTTATAACCCAAAAAAAAAAACGTAATTTTAAATCCTTTATTTATTTGTATGAAAAATGCTTTTAGTATGTGAGTTACTCAGCGTATGCAAGATAAAATATATGTATTTTTTGTTTGCACTGAATTCTATCTTTTGTTTTGTTTTTTATATTATATGTGTATTGTAAGTATGTTAGCATGATGAATGATTAATTATGTATTTTGTTCTATTTCAGACAATCTGTTATTGAGTAAGTAGAGCTTTATATTTTTGCGTATTTTTTATTTTGTTTTAGCGTATGTAGATAAATTTGTTGAAGCATTTTAGTTTATATTTTTTTCATTTTAAAACTTTTTATATTATTTTTTAGTAAAGTGATGTTTTCTTACTATAATCTGGATTAATATATATTTTTTCTGAGTTAAAATTAAATTTATAGAAAAATATAAAGATTCTTTTTAAAGGTTTAGACTAATGAATCTGATTTACAAAGAAAATCTTTGATATTTTTATCCAGGTATATTGAAAGACGATTAGAACAATCTCTGAGACAGGACAAAGGCTCCGGGTGTGAGATACCCCGGTTGGATCCATTCTCTAAAGAAGTCACGCAGTTTGATAAGGACATACCCAAGGTTATGTGTTTGGGAACGGATTGGGTTAAATGTTATGTGAGTTAATATGATTTGGATACTGGTTTTGTAATATACTTTGATATTAAACACGAAAAATAACATATATTATATCGCACCTCCGCTCAAATAGTGTCATAAGTCAAAAATCCCAACTTTCGAATAAAACGCGTTTGAAGTTAATGCTAACTTTACTTTTCGGCTCATCACTCGAAAACTGTGAAAGTTACTGCAATATGATTTTAAGTAAGTTATAATGATTTTTGACACTCAACAAAATGGTGTAATAGACTTTTGGAATATATTTAAAGAAAAATAACGAATAACGAATGAAAAAAACGAATAATTTACGAAATATTGACATCTATGGATAAATAGTTCAACTATGGGCATGACATTATTTGAGATAAGATTTCGAAGTTTTCTGATTCCAATAGTGCAATAAAATTGAATTCAACTTTTTTTGAGTTATGACACTATTTGAGCGGAGGTGCGATATGTATTAATATAATTTTTTTCAGCATTCTAAATGTAGGGTAGTTCCTAAAATATTAAGTACAACCAAAGACATAGTATGTTCATACCAAGACATAATATATGAGAGTGACCAAAAATACACAATCGGTCCTCCCACAGAGGTCAGAGGTGATAACGAGTATGTTCTCACTAAGAGCGATCATGTAAAGGTTAAGTGTTCAGGGAAACATAGAGACAGGTGAGATTATATGTTTAGTTTTAGAAACTTAAATAAAATTTTATTATGATTTATGTAACATTTATATTTTTGATTATAAATCCAGTAAAAATAAGTTTAAATGATTATGATCACGGTAAGATGATATGAAAATGTCTACCAGTTAGTCTTCATTTTTTTCCTTTACTTTCAAATGTTTATTTAAGCGTTTTACTCTGAAATGCATCCTGAGATCTTGCAGCGTAGTCGCGGCTTTTGTATTTTATATTTTTTGGTGACAATTGTTAGACAATCATTTTCTGTAATTTTTTATAGCTTTGGGGACGTATAAGTATTTCTAGCATATACCTAACCCTTAACATTTGATAGTATACCACTTTGAACATCTAAGTGAAATTCTATTATACATATTTTGTTGTCATATATTTCCAGCATCCTTCCTTCCAAATGGACCGGTCACTCAATCGGCTTTCGGTCTACTGTTCATCCGGATCTCCCCCCTCCAGGGAGGGAAGATTCCTTGAACGTGCTCATCCTAGGATTCGACTCCACCGCCAAAAACGGTTTCATACGAAGAATGCCCAAAAGCTATAAAGTTTTAAACGAAATATTAGGAGCTACTATTTTGAATGGGTATGAGCTACTCGTAACTCACAAAATTTTTTTTTGGTTGAATTTCCCTATGTATGTTGTTAGCAAACGAAACAGTATTACTAATTATGCCATAATTCAATAATATTTTATGCTAGGTACAACATAGTAGGCGATGGGACGCCCGCCGCCCTGTTCCCGATCCTGACGGGCAAGACGGAGTTGGAACTGCCTGACGTGAGGAAGAAGATGAAGAACAACAGAACCTTGGACGACATGCCCTTCATATTCTATAAGCTGAAGGATGAAGGGTGAGACTTGGTGGATAGGGGGTACTTCATTTTGGGGAAATTGACGGTCATAGTGAAAATTAATATTAACTAACTTGATGGGTAACGTATTTGAATTGACATATAGTTACTTATATTGACAGATTATAAGGTCATTTTCTGTCTAACAGTGATATATAAATATTTGTACTAATAGTTACACTAGCTTTCGGCCTGCAGCTTTGCCAGCGTGAAGTTCGGTTAAATCGCGTTTCAAAAGTCTGGGATAAAAATTATCCTATGTTCTTTCTCAAGGTCAACTCTATATCTGTACCAAATTTCATTAAAATCAGTTCATTGGTTGAGGCGTGAAAGCGTAACAGACAGACAGACAGAGTTACTTTTGCATTTATAATATTAGTGGGGATGACAGTTCAGTAAATTTTTTTGGGGTACGCTAGGAGAGCAATAGCCAGAATTTGGATTAACAATTTAATTTATAATCATTTGACATATCATAAATTATTTTGTATTTACAGAATTTTATGTACATTTTCCTGAATTCCTACGCTAATGTTCCTGTATATGTTTTTTTTGGGTATTTTTTTTTACATTAGTATTCTATAGCATTGATGACTTGATAGTTTTAAATATAAAGAAAATCCAGTGAATGCCTATGGCAAATATCCATATATAAAAAATGCGTATTCTATATTTGATGACTAGACAAAGCACGATAGCTTAATGGGTGCAGCAACTAGAACGTATCGAATAATGATTTTTCAAGGTTGTAGGGTCAAATCTAACTGTTTCAATGAATCTACCATTCTATATCTCTATTAAAATCTTAATACAAATATTTTTATTATAAGTACATTAATGGCAATAACATAATTATTATATAATGTCATTTCAGTTACCGTACAGCATATTTTGAAGATATGCCCTGGATAGGAACATTTCAGTACAGATTCAACGGCTTCAAGAATCAACCCGCGGACCATTATTTGCGTGCTTTCTATTTGGAAGAGTCCAATAGTGGAAAAAAGTGGTGGAAGGGTTCCCAGAACAAATACTGCGTGGGAGACACGCCGCAGTATAAACTAATGTTGGATATTACTGATCAGGTGTGGAAAATCAACTCTATATATGCATATTTAAAGTATATTTTTGTTTGCAACATACTTATGTTTCATATACAACGTGTAACGTAATTAACGCACACCCTCAAATACCCCAATGCGAATATAATAATATAAACGCAATGCATACACCAAATATTATTTATATGTGTGTTTGCATTTTTTATTTGTGAAATTAGTTATCCCAATTTCGTACAAATAATATGGTCAGCTATTCACCAACACTCCGCTACACACGGACACACAGACAAACACAATGTACTCGCCGCGCCCGCTCCCCTCTCTCCGAGTGCCGTCCGACAATAATAAGAAGTAGGTAATTATAAGTACACGAAATAACTACATACATTATGATTTTTCTTTCCATCACACTTTTCAAGCTTTAGATTGTTGACATTGAATTTTCTTTTTAATGTGAAGCTAATATTTTACAATTACTGATTTGTTAAATTAAATTTGTAAATAAGAATTATTAAACAGCTGATAACGCGTTATTTGATTAGACACCACAATACCTACGACAAAGTTAAACACAGTCGGCCTGTTTAAATGGTGTGTATCAAAATATTCACAATAATTTTAAGGTCATAAACAAACTTACAGTTTAATTTGCACTCGCACGGCTTTGTCGTTTTAAAACATTTTCAAAATGTCCACCGCCTTGTTCAATGCACTTTAATGACCGTTTTCGCAATTGTGGTTTTATTTTAGATAATACTGCAATGTCACTTTTCACTTTTACAAAGGCGGTTATTATCTTATTTTTTAGTTCCTCGGCACTTATTATCTCTGTGTTATAAACTAGTGATTTAATTCGCCCCCACAAAAAAAAAGTCGAGTCGCGTCAAATCAGCTGATCTAGGAGGTCAATGGACACGTGCGTAGGTATTTGATGTATTGAATGTTAGTGTACCGAAACGACACAGCGAAATGCGCTACTAAGATTTTATTTGCACTTTACACTTGACCTCTTTTCGATAAGGTGGACGCGGCGTGACTAACATACCCAAAACACATTTTGTTGACTTCGATGTTTAGTTATTATTACTCTGATTCCCGGAATTAGCCTGCCCTCTCGCTCTGTTGTAATGTTATTAAGCCAAAGAAAGAAGGAGAAAGTAATAATTTTTGTATTACGCGGCTTTCTTTTATGCACTGTAGTGACCTTGCTGTGTGCCGGTTGTCGCTATGGTGTTGCGTGCGTAGTTATTTTTAAATACTATTTTAGCCTTGAAATAAGTATCAGTTTTCTTTAATTGAATGATGTTTACTAATTAAATATTTCATTTTAAAAATCTTAATACCCTGACTTACGATCCATTTTCGTTTCCATTAATTTTCGTTTCTATGAAGTGTTTAGATAACTGTGTGTAGGGTGACTATAATTTACTAAGTACTATCTAAATTTGAGAAAAAAATGACCTACATAAAAAACTATCAAAATCGATCCAGTATCCGATTCTCATCAAACTACTTTCAGGGTGTGCGTTAATTATGTTACACGTTGTATAAATGGGTCATTGGATTTTACCTGATACAACGGCTCAGTTAGTTTAGTCAGTGGTGGCCTAGTAGTTAAAGAGCCTGCGTCTCGTTGCCGAGGGCGTAGGTTAGATCCTGGCCCGGGCAAGTACCAATGTGATTTTTCCGAGTCATATGTACTTTCTAAGACTATTTAGACATCACTGATTAATGTTGATTCTCAAAAGAGGGTTGATGTCAGGCAGGCCGCCGGTAAAATAAAATAGCCAAAACTATTTACAACATGTAAGGCAGACTGGCTTTAGCTGGGAAATTGCCAGGTAGAAGAAGGACAACGGCTCAGTTACTAAACTGTCAAGTTTTTAACGATTTTGTCTTCGTTTTTTCCAGTTTCTTCGCCTGGATGGAAAACGTTTCGCGTTCACATTCATAGCGGATATAACTCATGATGATTTCAACATGATATCTATAGCTGATGAAGATACAGCAGAATATCTTAGAAGGTTTCATGATCGCTATAGAGAAGATACTTTGTTAATAGTCATGGGGGACCATGGACCTAGGTAAATTTTATACTATAACATTCAACCTATCTCGTATATTTAGTTTTCTGTTTTTGGGCCCATGTTTTGGAACATATATTTATATCTAGTCGAGAACCATACATTTATATTTAATTTTAATCAAAGTTGACCTATACGTGATGAAGTCTTTCACCTAAAACATATTTACTTACAATAAACTTATATAGTAGGCCGGCAATGTATATAAAGGGTGACTGGTGAATTACTATCGATATTTGAGGACGTGATATTTGACGATCATATATGACAAAATAAAAATTAATATAACATAAATATTAATAAACTTCTAAGTAAAGTTAACCAAAAGTTATGTAATTAATTACGCATCGTGTGAACACCCTACAGATTAGGTATACACACACACACACACACTCGCGCGCGCAGGGGCGTGGTGTTGTATCAGCACGCCGCCGCACGCGTCCACACTTGGAAGGAGTCCACACTTTATTTATTTATACGGAAATTAGGTCAAAAATTAAGTACCTATTTTTTTTACATAATTCGAATGAGAATCATGTACCGAGTATGCTCCTTAAATATTGATAGTAATTCACCAGTCACCCTGTATAATTGTTATGTTGAGATGTCTATGGGTAACGGTAATTACTTTCCAACAGTTAAACCGTCTGTCTGCATCTTTGGGTAATATAAAAAAATACATGCAAAATATAGCGTATATATATTTAACAGGTACGCAAAAGTTCGTGATACTCTACAAGGGAAACTGGAAGAACGATTACCTCTCATGGCGATCAGACTTCCAGAAAAACTAAAGAAAATTAGAACAGAGGCTGAGAAGAATTTGAAGGACAATGCTGAAGTATTGACAACACCTCACGACATATACGCTACAGTGTTAGATGTACTGGACCTGACGCAGTTCACTAACACATATAGAGTTAAAGGAGCTGATCTGAACAGGGGACTCAGTCTGTTGGAACCGGTCAGTACATCATCAACTTGAGTTAACATGATAGTTTAGTTTAGAAAACAATTGGGAAGCGATATTACGTTTGCAGGTTCGCATCCTACTTAGTCCGTGCCAAAGAAGTTTTAGGCCAACAGGATTTTTATTTGACGTATTTAGTTCTAACCTGCTTTTAATTTATATGATAATATTGTAGACCCGATCACAACTCTTGTGAATGACTAATTATATGTTAAAATCAAATGTTGAACCAAAATTATTCAAACTAATGTTTAACGTTTTAAAAGTAAAGCATATATATAGCCTAAATACCCTGATCTTGTAATAATATCAACTATAGGAACTATATGTCTTTTATAATTATGTGTTGAATTTCGGTCTAGAAGATTAAATTACAGTTTGTACTATTTTAAGAGCTCTTTACCAGAAACTAGGAAATTGCAATATATATTTGCTGAGCTGGTACATCCAAACTTTTTGATAGATACTAAAACTTTACGATCTTTATCCACCTTCAACATAATATTAATAAGTTTAAAGCTATAGTTTGGCTATTATTAATCAAAACTTGATATTATACTTGAGCACAATGTTCCTCTCCAGATACCAAAGAACAGATCGTGTAGCGAGGCGGGTGTGGAGGCTCACTGGTGTTCGTGTCTGTCGTGGCAGAACGTGACGGACGATGACGTCATGTTCAGGAGGACGGCCGCCGCGCTCGTGGACTTTATCAATCATCTCACTGAGGAGAAGCGGTCCGTATATATATATAACTAGCTGCGCCCCGCGGATTTTCGAGATTTCCGAGATGAAAAGTAGCCTATGTATTATTCCTGGACGTCAGCTTCCCGTATACAAAATTTTATCAAAATCGGTTCAACCGTTTGAGCGTGAAGAAGTAACAAACATACACACCCACTCACAAACTTTCGCAATTATAATATTAGTAGGATATGAGAACAAAGCACTTATTGATATAGCACTTACTTAACTATAAGGGTTGTATGTAATCATCATCATCAGCCTATCAGGGCCCACTGCTGAGAGGCCCCTTTCTCACATGGAGAAGGTTTGAGCATTAATCACCACGCTTGTTCAAGACGGGTTGGTGGTTCCAAACTTAAAATTTGATATAAGTGCAGGTTTTCTTACGATGTTTACCTTCATCAGTCAGTGCTGTCTAAATACTCTTAGAAAGTGCATATGACTCGGAAAAATCTAACGGATAATTTCCCAGCTTCAGCCAGGGTCTGCCTTACATGTTGTGAATAGTTTTGGCTTATTGTTTTTACGACCGGCCGCTTGTCTGAAATCAACCCTCTTGGGGAATGCATAAAACAGTGATGTCTAAATACTCTTAAAGAGTGAATATGACTCGGAAAAATCACATTGGTACTTGCCAAGATCGAACCCGCGCCCTCATACGTGAAAGGCGGATCTTTAACCACTAGGCCACCATGTCTATAATATAAGAATGTTATACGTTTATTTCCAGGTCGGTGTGCGCGGTTCGTTCTCTCAAGTCAGTGTCTTGGGTGATGCGAGCGAGGCCCAACAGCGGTGTTTTAACGTTCGTGGAGGCTCGCGATCAAGACGGATATGTTGGCAAGTTTGGTAATAAAGTTAAACAGACCAGGGAAAACTACCAGTTGAAGGTATGGACATAACATGTATGTGTTTGTAATTAGTTTATAACTGTAGACTAGATGGCGTTACTTGCAATAATATTACACATTCTTAGATTAGTTATTCCTGTAGACACTAGATGGCGTTATTTGTAATTATAGTACACATTATTGTCACATTCAATAAGTAGCTTATGAAATAATGTTATAGTTTACCTCCCAGTGGCACTTTAAAGCCAATAAATAGACTAACAATAAAAAAAATAAGTAACAAGATATGAGACGAAAATGTTTTTGATTTGCGATTGATCTGTGTTTTCATTTCCAAGTATGTTATGGCTGTGTATGTTTAAAATTGTAACGAGCGGTTTTTATTAATATTAACTTTAAGATAAAATCAGAGCAATCTAAGCTTAATTAATTCTCTTGTTCTTGTAACACTTTGAACGATAGAAGCATTATAGCTGAAAGCGATACCATAAGAATAACATAATTGAAGCGAGTCTCAAATATAAGAAACAAACTTTAATATTTTATTAATGTATAATTTCAGATCGCAGTGGGTCCGGGCCACGGCATATACGAAGCGTTAGTGACTTACGTTATCACTGAGGATAGATTTGAAATTAATACGAGGGAAATATCACGGACCAACGCGTAAGTAACCAGGATTTTCATGAATTTAATATTTTGTGTATATACGGTAAAGTATATATGTATTATGGTAAAGTATCTGTATTAAAGAAAGTCTTGCTAGTTACACTATTTATAAATCAAGAACTCCTGTACGGATTTTGCTGGAAATTTGTAGGGAGGTTGGAATCAGGAGACGGACATAGGATACTTTTGAATTCTTTTGACCAAAAAATTGGCAATATAATCCAAAATCTGTTTACTTACTGCCTCTAAATCGAAACAATTCGCCTGGTCAACTATATATTTCTAATTATGAAACTAACGCGGACAAAGTCGAGAGCAAAAGCTGGTAAAATATAAAAGACATACATTTCCTATGTGTACAAAGTATGAGATGATCACTATATATATGAACCACCTGTATAAGACTATTTTAAACATACTCGTAATTATCTTGGATGAATCTTATGTATAGTGAACCTTAATTTATTGTCAATAGTATTTTGAAGAAATTATTTAAGTCATTACCTTCATTATAAGTATTAATTACGAACAAAGTGACAGTTACATCTATTTAGTCTTTGAGTTCTTTTAGTAGTAATGGCATGATAAGATATAGGGTTTTATTTGTAATATCTTAATTGTAGTTATAATTTTAAAATTTCCTTTGTAAGCGAACTTTGTTCTTTTTGCTAATAAACTTCTTTGAACCTAAAATATGATTTATATAAAACATTGTAAGCTAAGCGTCACTTATTCTTCTCTATATAGGATGTTTGGTATTGTAATAACCAAGGGTTCAATTGTTATGTATTGTCTCTTATACATTATATATATAATACAAGATAATATACTAGTAATATATTTTATATAATACACAGTTACAACAACGAGCCGAGCTGTATAAGCGCCACCCACCCTCACCTCAACATGTACTGCTACTGTAACCAATAGACATTAACAATATATAGTATGGAAATGAAACATTATACGAATATGTTTTATATTATATATCAAAAGAATTATATATATAATAATATACAACATCAATGTATGTGAGTCTGTAGGTGAATATAATGTTCTACTGTGACTGTTAATACACATGTCTTTCATTATATATAATATTATATAATTGGCACAAACTATTGATTTAGTACCAATGAAGATATCTTTATACTCAGTATGTATTCAGTTCAAGTTGTTTATAGCGGGGAGATGTGTTAGTGTTCCTGAGTTACCTGTAACGTTAGTATTATCTGTATATTTAACTCTCTCATAATTATTAATATTATTATAATAACTCGGTATAATAATAATCAGTTTTTATTGTATTATGTACAAAAGTTAACTAAATATTTTTAAATTTATTCGTACTTAGAATATGTTTTAGTTTTGGTGTCGTTTTAAGATGTCTAAATATTTCTTAATACTCTTTTTGTTTTCTACTATATTTTCTCTTATATTGGTAATTTCAATATCATTTATATTTTAGTAACATGATTAATTCATGTAAATGATGTTAATCTGAAATTATTTTTAACGCCATCTACATCATTTATTTGGAACTTCATTGCATAATGTTTAAGTACGAACAATGAAAAGTGATTTGTAAAAATGTTGTATTTGATCGTCTTCTCACATTATATACATCTAGCTTACCTCTTAGAACTTGTGTTTTCACATATTTTTTTAAGGTATTAATTGTAATTCTGTGAATTTGTAAAACACTTTAGAAATATGTTTTTTGTTGATTAGTTCAGTCTTTAATAATATGCTTTTCTATTTCAATTTAACATTTTGATTTTAAAATTAAAATCGAATGTTGAACAGTTCTATTTATTTATGTAAAAATCTCAGTTACCAATATAATTCTCTGATTATTTTTACATTTTTGGACTAGTTTAAACCTAAATTTTAGGTTGAATACTGTTGAGTGAAGTAAAGTATATAATTATAAAATAATATTGTAAATTATAAGGAGTTGATGTATAAAGAGTAGCGGACACTATATAATTATTTTAATGTATAAGTTCCTTAATACTATAATACCGTTTCTTAATGTGATTCGTCTAGTTTTATTTGATTAAATCTAGTCAAGTAAAAATCTTGAGATTTTTGTCTGTTTTGTTGTTTGCTTTCAAATAAATTTGGTTTTTGAAATTGAATTGTGTTTTCTTATTTGATTCTTGTGATTCATAATTTTAAATCAAGATTATACACCGACCTCTTCATGATATTCACGAAATTACAAATGACAACTGTATCAGTGAACTGATTTCTATATGTGAAAATACATTTTGACTTTTGTATACCACGTATTATACTAAATTTGTAATTGCAATATATGAGACTAAATACTCCTTACTGTACTACTGTAAAGACTGACCGTGAGACTCAGATTTACTCACTCTATGGATCAATCTCTGGGGTAATTTTGAGTACTTTTGGAGTGACATAGTCATCTGCAATAACAAAACTCCTTAAAATGACAAAAAGAAATGGTCGGCATCAATCTGATACTGACAAAAAAAAAATCATTACTTTTGTACATGAAATAGTAAAGAACTGAGATAATATTAATTATAACTTAGATACCAAAAACTCGTTGAAATAAATACATTACAAATATTAATCTCTACAGTGCTTTAAGTTTATTAATTGATAGCTCAAAACTCAATAGATGAGTTCTGTTTGGTAATTTGGCAATCGACATTTTTAGGGCAGGGAAAGGCAGGAAAAAGAAAAGCATTCAACCTTGGAACAGCTTTAATCAATAAATTTGAAAGGGGAGCTTTCTCGTGCCTAGCAAAAACAAACTTGGCAAACTTCTGTCATATAACTATCGGGTACCTATTTAGCTTCTCTTATTTCGATTCCTTTATGACTGAGTTCTTTATTTGTAAGGCCAGGATTGTTAATTCTTAAATGGCTAATTTTAACGCTAGTTAGGGGTTCTGATGGTATTTTACATCTCTACATATAATAATAATATATATCTATTATAGGTTAAAATATGTCCAATTGTGTCCAATTGTGCATCCAGTTGTCCCTTGTTCTAACACGCCTGTACCATATCTCTTTATTCACTGGTAAAGTTATAAAATCTCAGAAGTTTGGCGTTATCATCGAATATTGTATTTCATCGAATTCCAAATTTGGATGGTTCATTTAGTTGAAAGCGAAGGCACTTCATTGATATAAGATGTTCTTACAAAAATATAATAGTACCTCACAACCTGGACAACATCTTTGTCCATTCAAAGGAGAGGTTCGGTAGTGGGATTAATAGTGATGCAATATTTTGGCAAGCACTGATACGTGTCACCTAGGTTTGGACTTCGTAAACAGATACACAAAAAGCCTTATTGGTGACCCCGAGTTGTCTAAAACCAATTTTGTCGATTTTAAGCACAAGCGTAGCTTATCAGTATTTTATACTCTTTGTAGACTGTGCTTATTAATTGCACCCTTGAATTCATGCATCCTTTTCTCACCAGCCACCAAGTTGGGCCTCATGTTCGTATCAAACGATTCGACAAGTGCCCTGATTTTGTGTTTCCTTCTAATTATTATTTGGGTAGAATGACAGGGAAGCAGTATCCATCCAAGCATTTATGTTACTTGTCAATACCTCAAAAATTTACAAAGGAAATGTTCGTGTGAATGAAAGGAAAGTATAGATTTAAGAGTTTAATTATATTTACATTACGTGAATGACACTGACAATATACAGATACCTACATCATTAATAAATATATCAATTTACACTAACTACTAGACTAAAAGATAATATATACAAAATGTCACGCATTTCTCTGAGCAAGCTTAAGGTTTTCCTTATTATTTGATGTTTTTAATAAGGTCCGTTGTTATAATCGTTGTTGTAATCCGCTTGTCTATTACTGTCGTAGCCTGATCCGGCGCCGACGTCCTCGTATGAGATTCTGGGCTTGAAACCGTCCTGGTCGGCTTCATATTCAACGGTCTGGTGACAAATAATTCATTTCATAAGTCATTCTCATGGTCTCTATTGTGTTAATAACAACAACCCATCCTCCTACTATATATTACCTGTTTCCTTCCATCAGGTAAGACGACGTAGTAGACTCCCTCAGCGCGGTCCCCTCGTCGTGACTCTCGGTGACCGAAGTCGTTGCCGGAGGGAGCGTCCTGGACCATGTATTCGAAGTCGTAGTTCGCAGGCTCCTGTTAGTGAAGATTATTAATTAAGGAACTTAAAAATAATACTCGAAAGAAGAGTAATTATAATTCGAAGAGGCAAAAATAGATATGGTCATAAAAGAATTAGTATGAGAGATAATTTTATGAACTTTAAGTCAGTGGTGGCCTAGTGGTTAAAAAGGCCTGCCTCTCATGCACGAGGGCGGGGGTTTGATCCTGACCCTGGCAATTCCGAATGTGATTTTTCCGAGTCATATGTACTTTTTAAGAGTATTTAGACATCACTGATTAATGCTGAATTCCCACAAGAGGGTTGATGTCAGGCAGGCAACCGGTCGTAAAGTTAATGAGTATGTATTATTTCAACTCACTCCATTGCTTCCATCATCATATCCTCGAGCACTGGGAGGGAGGTACTGTCTGCTTTGTTGGTTGGCATATTTGTTGTCATTACCACCTTGAAATAATTGAATAATTAGAATAGAAATGTAATAGGAAACATAGGCACGCGTTTAAACTTTGAAAAAGATTTAAATACTGGATTCTCCAGTTTTGTTCAATAAATATTATCCCAAACACAACATACTTCGTTCAAATTCAGGAGCTCCATATTCTTGAGAGGGACCATTGGATCCAGCCTGATCTGGTGCACCATATTGAGTGGAAGGTGCTTGGTATTGGTTTACAGGTGGCAAGTATTGTGCCTTTGGTGCTTGGTATTGGCTCGGAGCTGAATATTGATTCTCAGAAGCTTGATACTGGTTGGTTGGTGGTAAGTATTGGTCGGTGGGTGCTTGCTTTTGTCCTTGATATTGGTTGTTCGGTGCTCCATACTGAGAGGAA